GCCCCCGCGGCCTCGTCCATGACCAGGCCTCCCGGTAGATCAGGGCCTGATCAACGAGGCTGTTACTGCTGGCCCCACGTAGTCCAACGTACTAACCACAGCCCGGCTGATCCGGCACTGACTTTAGGTATCTGTCCAGCTCCCTCTTGAAGGCAACCAGGGGCCTATTGGTAATTCCCCTTATGGCTGTTGGGAGGCTGTTGAACAGTCTTGGGCCCCGGACACTTATCGTGTTTTGGTATGGCACATAAATGTGTTTTTCCACTGTGACAATGCTCCAGCTAGATAAGTTTTCCTTATAACGATTGGTAGCTCACACACTGAGGTCTGGGGGTCGATCCAAGGTACGGGTGAAAACTTTAGGACGTGTTTCCTTAAGACACCTTTTGTCCATGTTCACCTAGCAGTAAAATAGGCACCTGGGAGTTAGTTGACTGGTGTGGGTCGCATCCTGGGACAAAACCTAATTTGCGGGAAATGCTCTGCATAACAAGGAGCTTTCTATATAGTAGTATGTCATCGATGTCGGCTATGATCTGTATATCTTGTACATGTAGAATTATCGTGGCAAAACGTTTCATCCGTCTTCAACTGTACACAGGTGTTTCCACACTCGTAATGCTCCAACTAGACAAGTTTCCCTTAGAAAGAAACTGGAAGAACACACGCACAACACACACAACGACGTTTCGGTCCATTTACATGGTCCAAGTTGGAGCAAAACATCGTCTTAAGCTTCTCTCTCCTATATACGGGTTGTTTACGTAGTTTCCCTTGTGACTCGCGTAATAACATTATTGTAAACAAACCGTGGAACGGGTAGGGTTTGAACCCATGACGAGTGAGAAGTAAAACTCCAGGCCAGTGCGTTAACCACTCTACCAGCTGGCTACAGTACTATTTATCCATCTAGGTATATTTCTATATACTATAAGGAGGTTGGCAGGGGTCCAGTGGCTTACGCACTGGCCTGGAGTTTTACCAATCATTCGACATAGGTTCAAATCCCACCCGTTCCGTGGTAAGTTGCCTTACAGTGTATAATAGTCATCAGTGTACTTGGAATACTGACAATACAATGCAATACTGACACACAAATAACCCGCACATAGAAGAGAGCTTACAACGGCGTTTCGGTCCGATTTGGACCATTTATAAAGTTGCACAAAGAGGACCGAAACGTCGTCGTAAGCTCCTCTATATGTGCGGGTTGTTTGTGTCTCGTTCGTCACGCTATTGTGCCCCTTTTTTGTTACAATACCGATAGTTTGATGAGCGAGAAACGTGCAGCACTTGGCATCGGTTTTATTAAACGTTTCGCCTGCTTCAGTCGAATATAGAGATGAGCTGCAATCCTGGAGACAGACGAAGACGAATGGTAGAGGTAATCTGTCCCTCAGTCTTGCTGGACAAGTGTGTATTTAGCCTCCACGTGAACACAATCTGTGATTTCTCTACAAAAGGAGTTTGTGTACTGGCTAGGCCTCCCTGTGTTGTGTTCTGGCTAGGCCTCCCTGTGTTGTGTTCTGGCTAGGCCTCCCTGTGTTGTGTTCTGGCTAGGCCTCCCTGTGTTGTGTTCTGGCTAGGCCTCCCTGTGTTGTTGTGTCCTGGCTAGGCCTCACTGTGTACTGGCTAGGCCTCCCTGTGTTGCTGTGTACTGGCTAGGCCTCCGTGTTGCTGTGTCCTGGCTAGGCATCCCTGTGTTGGGTACTGACTAGGCCTCCGTGTTGGGTACTGACTAGGCCTCCCTGTGTTGGGTACTGGCTAGGCCTCCCTGTGTTGGGTACTGGCTAGGCCTCCCTGTGTTGCTGTGTACTGGCTAGGCCTCCCTATGTTGTTGTGTAGGCTATGTTACACCAATTTGTGTTTAGCAGTCTCGTACAGGCTGTTGGCAAGAAGGCAGGCAGGAAAACAGGCAGGCAGGCAGGCCGGGCAGGCGGCAGGACAAGGCAGGTCCTGCCAGCAATAATTACAAGTCTGGGTTATTGAAATCTTCCGTGTTGAAAGCGGAGAGGAACAACTTCGCTGTCCACCAATCTTCCCAAATTGTTTCGTCCTTTACCCACGCCGCACCTCCAACCCATCCCGAACGAACCTTTGAGACACCGAACGCTGGAGAGAGACTCAGGTATGCACACAATCGTATAATAGCCTTCTTAATGGGCCAATTTCTTCTCTTTTTTTTTGTCGTTCTGGAAAGGACGATGCGGTTACGGCCGCCATCTTGCCGCTGGCGGAGCCGCCATCACACGACATCGAAAGCACGACAATTAACCAGAGCTAAGAATAATGTTGGCGGAGGATTGGAGGTTCAAGACTGGTGGAGGACTGAGGCTTCAAGACTGGAGGACCGAGGGGGGGTTCAAGACTGACAGAAGACTGAGGGGGGGGGGTTCAAGACTGACAGAAGACCGAGGGGAGGGTCAAGACTGACAGAAGACCGAGGGGAGGATCAAGACTGACAGAAGACCGAGGGGAGGGTCAAGACTGACAGAAGACCGAGGCGGGGTTCAAGACTGACAGAAGACCGAGGGGGGGTTTAAGACTGACAGAAGACTGAGGAAGGGTTCAAGACGGACAGGAGACTGAGGGGGGGGGGTTCAAGACTGACAAAGATGAGGAAAATCCGTGGATTGTCTTGTTTATTTCCTTACTCCTTCTTTATCATCACTTTTTCTTCCCAGGTACACAAACACATCTCGCCCATAGTCACGTGTTCAGAGTTTCTCCTGAACCTCTATCCATCTGTGTAGTTTGTGACCTGCCACTGTGGGTCATATTTCAAGAGTTTGACCTCGGTTTAGGTCTTTCTGCCTTCCTGGTTTTTATAATTACCGAGGTGCCTGTAGGGACCTCGGGGGATTTTTAAAGGGAATCTTTATCATAGTAATTTAATGAGGTATTTAACTGATGATGTTTAACTACTACTACTACTACCACTACTATTATTAATATTACTACTACTCTTATTACTATTACTATTATTATTATCCGTCATCATCTTCCTACAAATTAAAAGTGACCTGAAACTGCAAAATATAAGATTACGTCACTTGACGTAATTCTATTTATGGTTCATACTCTCTCGTGGCCGGAAGTGACGTCGTGACCGGCACTGACGTCATGCCAAATGGTGACGTCATACTCAGTGACGTCATGCCTGGAGTTTGTAAACAAGTGTGATACACGTGTTAGTCAACATTTGGTCCTCGTTAGTATGAGCAGGTGTTTGATGGGTGTGTGGCACTTGCAAGTAACTCTGATGGGCCTGATCAGGAGAGTTGAGTACAAATCTCACCTGAGGTCCTCTGGAAAATCCCCACCTACAGTGTAAATACACTGTCAGTATTCCCCACCTAGCTTCTTCAGGCATCTATAACTTAGTGGTCTAAGGTGTTACATGGGGAGTTGTGGCACTCTCCAGACGTGGGTTCGAATCCTGCTGACTGCAAGACTGGACAAATATGAGAGTGAAAAGGGCTGGGTTTGATTAGTATCAGAGGTGCTGACAGAGGAAGGACTGATATGGGCAGGGAGGGGAAGATGGTTAGTGGGCGGCTGGCAGGGCATTTAGGGAGGTTATTGGCGGCGTGTTGGGTGTTCATGGGTGGTGGGTAGCGGAGGGTGGGCGGCAGGCAGCAGTGTCAACCTCTCACCAGCGTACAGGGGTCTTCTGTATAAAGTATTGCCCTCGTTACAATGTCGCGGGAAGATCATCAATCACACGGGTGGTGAGCTGGACTGATATTGCCTCGGCAACTACTGCCTCTGCCTGCCATCCTTCCTGCCGCCTGCCACCCACCACCCCCCAGCTAGTCCATATTGCCAGCGGCACTAATTGTTGTTAGTCCATTAATAACAGTGACGCTCCGGCATCGCCCGCACTTCATTTGTCACTCGTAGCACGTTTGATGACCCACACAAGTTGGCACCCCAGTGATGGTGGTGGCACCTCAGAGATGGCACCCCAGTGATGGTGGTGGTGGCGGCACCCCAGTGATGGTGGTGGTGGCACCCCAGTGATGGTGGTACCCTAGTGATGGTGGAGGTGGCACCCCAGCGATGGTGGTGGCACAGGTAAGCCTACTAACCATTTACTGATCATGACCAAGCATCACTAACACAATTCTTCCTTCCATCATACATAATAATGCCAGCTGATCTCTCTTAATTAAAGAACACAGTAATCCAGTGGTTGAAAAAGCCTGGTAAATGACCGGGTGGACAATGAGAACTTTCAAAACAAGAGACATAATGCCAGTGGTGACCTTATTCAAATCGAGTTGTGTTGATGGCTCCTGTCGGGGCAGGAGATATCAGAACTGGAGGTATCAGAACTGGAATAGATATATTATTATTATTACTAAGCACTAAACCTGGAACAGATAGTTTTTTTTCTGCTCATACAGTACAACTGATAATGCCTTGAAGAACTGAGGAGAGAGTTGTACATAAAATGTAAGTGAATGATACCGACCCATGGCCGGGCTCCGAGAGTAGAAAAGGTCTTGGAGCACATCATGGGTCTATCATCAAAGGATCTACTTCCGAGCCTACACAATATCGTAACAATGTATTTGATTAGAAAGAGAGGCAGGGGCGCCGTGGGTATAAAAGAGAACACTGTATCAACATCAGTGACTATTCAGCTTGCTACTAGTAGGTACCAGAAATATTGCTAGATTGTGTGTAAAAGTCGTCAGGTAAAAGCTGGATCAGTACCTTCACCAGGCGCCAGATCAACCAGGCTGTGATGGGTGTGTGGGTCAGCAGGCCCCGAGATACCCATGTGGGTAGACTCCCAGTAGTAGTAACAGGTATTGTTGCAACTCGTATCGAAAGTACACTACTATTTTCCGTGCATCAGATACACTATCACAGCAGGATACCACCAACCTCACCTTCAGCCCATCAGGTACAATCATGAGCAAGAGTCTTTTTCACTGCCCTGCCCATCAGGATCAAGCAGCACTAACCCCTCTCTCTCTCCTGCCCATCAGGTACGCCCATCAACCGGTTGCCCATCATGGCCAAGCAGGTCCTGGACCTCTACGAACTCTACAACCTTGTGGTGGCTCGTGGTGGTCTGGTCGATGTTATTAACAAGAAACTCTGGCAAGAGATTATCAAGGGTCTGAAACTACCTTCTTCTATCACCAGTGCCGCCTTCACTCTCAGAACACAGTAAGTGTCACCTTCACTCTCAGAACACAGTAAGTGTCACCTTCACTCTCAGAACACAGTAAGTGTCACCTTCACTCTCAGAACACAGTAAGTGTCACCTTCACTCTCAGAACACAGTAAGTGTCACCTTCACTCTCAGAACACAGTAAGTGTCACCTTCACTCTCAGAACACAGTAAGTGTCACCTTCACTCTCAGAACACAGTAAGTGTCACCTTCACTCTCAGAACACAGTAAGTGTCACCTTCACTCTCAGAACACAGTAAGTGTCACCTTCACTCTCAGAACACAGTAAGTGTCACCTTCACTCTCAGAACACAGTAAGTGTCACCTTCACTCTCAGAACACAGTAAGTGTCACCTTCACTCTCAGAACACAGTAAGTGTCACCTTCATTCTCAGAACACAGTAAGTGTCACCTTCATTCTCAGAACACAGTAAGTGTCACCTTCATTCTCAGAACACAGTAAGTGTCACCTTCATTCTCAGAACACAGTAAGTGTCACCTTCATTCTCAGAACACAGTAAGTGTCACCTTCATTCTCAGAACACAGTAAGTGTCACCTTCATTCTCAGAACACAGTAAGTGTCACCTTCATTCTCAGAACACAGTAAGTGTCACCTTCACTCTCAGAACACAGTGTCACCTTCACTCTCAGAACACAGTAAGTGTCACCTTCACTCTCAGAACACAGTAAGTGTCACCTTCACTCTCAGAACACAGTGTCACCTTCACTCTCAGAACACAGTAAGTGTCACCTTCACTCTCAGAACACAGTAAGTGTCACCTTCATTCTCAGAACACAGTAAGTGTCACCTTCACTCTCAGAACACAGTAAGTGTCACCTTCATTCTCAGAACACAGTGTCACCTTCATTCTCAGAACACAGTAAGTGTCACCTTCATTCTCAGAACACAGTAAGTGTCACCTTCATTCTCAGAACACAGTAAGTGTCACCTTCATTCTCAGAACACAGTAAGTGTCACCTTCACTCTCAGAACACAGTAAGTGTCACCTTCACTCTCAGAACACAGTAAGTGTCACCTTCACTCTCAGAACACAGTAAGTGTCACCTTCACTCTCAGAACACAGTAAGTGTCACCTTCACTCTCAGAACACAGTAAGTGTCACCTTCACTCTCAGAACACAGTAAGTGTCACCTTCACTCTCAGAACACAGTAAGTGTCACCTTCACTCTCAGAACACAGTGTCACCTTCACTCTCAGAACACAGTAAGTGTCACCTTCACTCTCAGAACACAGTGTCACCTTCACTCTCAGAACACAGTAAGTGTCACCTTCACTCTCAGAACACAGTAAGTGTCACCTTCATTCTCAGAACACAGTAAGTGTCACCTTCACTCTCAGAACACAGTAAGTGTCACCTTCATTCTCAGAACACAGTGTCACCTTCATTCTCAGAACACAGTGTCACCTTCATTCTCAGAACACAGTAAGTGTCACCTTCATTCTCAGAACACAGTAAGTGTCACCTTCATTCTCAGAACACAGTAAGTGTCACCTTCATTCTCAGAACACAGTAAGTGTCACCTTCACTCTCAGAACACAGTAAGTGTCACCTTCACTCTCAGAACACAGTAAGTGTCACCTTCACTCTCAGAACACAGTAAGTGTCACCTTCACTCTCAGAACACAGTAAGTGTCACCTTCACTCTCAGAACACAGTAAGTGTCACCTTCACTCTCAGAACACAGTAAGTGTCACCTTCACTCTCAGAACACAGTAAGTGTCACCTTCACTCTCAGAACACAGTGTCACCTTCACTCTCAGAACACAGTAAGTGTCACCTTCACTCTCAGAACACAGTAAGTGTCACCTTCACTCTCAGAACACAGTGTCACCTTCACTCTCAGCACAGTGCCGCCTTCACTCTCAGAACAGTCACCTTCACTCAGAACAGTGTCACCTTCACTCTCAGAACAGTGTCACCTTCACTCTCAGAACACAGTAAGTGTCACCTTCACTCTCAGCATAGTGCCGCCTTCACTCAGAACAGTGTCACCTTCACTCTTAGAACAGTGTCACCTTCACTCTTAGAACAGTGTCACCTTCACTCTTAGAACAGTGTCACCTTCACTCTCAGAACAGTGCCACCTTCTATCTCAGCACAGTGTCACCTTCACTCTCAGCACAGTGTCACCTTCATTCTCAGAACTGTCACCTTCACTCTCAGAACACAGTGTCACCTTCACTGTCAACACAGTGCCACATTCACTCTTAGAACACAGTAAGTGTCACCTTCACTCTCAGCATAGTGCCGCCTTCACTCAGAACAGTGTCACCTTCACTCTCAGAACAGTGTCACCTTCACTCTCAGAACACAGTGTCACCTTCACTCTCAGAACAGTGTCACCTTCACTCTCAGCACAGTGTCACCTTCACTCTCGGCACAGTGCCACCTTCACTCTTATAACACAGTGCCGCCTTCACTCTCAGAAGTGCCACCTTCATTCTCAGAACTGTCACCTTCACTCTTAGAACACAGTGTCACCTTCACTCTCAGCATAGTGCCGCCTTCACTCTCAGAACAGTGTCACCTTCACTCAGAACAGTGTCACCTTCACTCAGAACAGTGTCACCTTCACTCTCAGCACAGTGTCACCTTCACTCTCAGCACAGTGTCACCTTCACTCTCAGCACAGTGTCACCTTCACTCTCAGAACAGTGTCACCTTCCTCCATCATTGATAGTCACTGGTTGGCAAAACGTCTATAAATGTGGATACACAGATGTTACACATGTCTTATTCTTCACTCCTGTAGCCCCCCCTCCCCCATACTTTCTCACACTCCCTTCCCCTACACTTCCTTCATGCCTTCTACACCCCTTCCTCAGTCTTGATAACGCATTCCCTTGTCTTAACGCATTCCTTAATCTTACCCACGCATTCCCTTGTCTTTACCACGCATTCTACATCCTTTCCTCACACCTCCCTGTTGCCATTACATTCCCTACTCCTATAAAATATCCTGACGCTTTTAATTACGCCTCTCCCCGTGCCTTTCCGCACGCCTCCTCCCATGCCTTTCCGCACGCCACCCAAAGAATCCCCAATGCATTCCTGAACTCGCTCGTTTCTCCTCAATATAACCATACGCCTCGCCACGCCCGCGTATCCCTGCCATTGGGCTATTGGTCCATCCCGCCGCTTCCCACGCCCGCCCATCCCACGAAATTGAAGTATGCATTAGTGATGAGGTTCCTTGTGCCGAGTGGAGCAAGGAAGCTCTGGGCAGGAGAAGCAGAACCTAGAGGACGGGGGGGCAGGAGGAACTGGGCAGGACCTGGTGATTACTGATCTCAGACCAAAACCTCCTGGTTGAAGGCCTGATCAGTCTGGCTATTGCCCTCGCAAGGTAGGCACTACGGCCAGACTGACGAGGATCAGTCTGTTGGGGATTCTCTTTTGATTTTTGAATGACGGTGTTGTGACGGCAGCTGTGTGTTGTGACGGCATCTGTGGGTGTTGCGACGGCCGCTGCGAGTGTTGTGATAGGTGTTGCCACTGCCTGAAGGTTACCTGGAGGTTATTCCGGGGATCAACGCCCCCGCGGCCCGGTCCATGACCAGGCCTCCCGATGGATCAGGGCCTGATCAACTAGGCTGTTACTGCTGGCCGCACGCAGTCCAACGTACGAGCCACAGCCTGGCTGATCCGGCACAGACTTTAGGTATCTGTCCAGCTCTCTCTTGAAGGCAGCCAGGGGTTTATTGGCAATTCCCCTAATGCTTGATGGGAGGCTGTTGAACAGTTTTGGGCCCCGGACACTTATGGTGTTTTCTCTTAGTGTACCAATGGCGCCCCTACTTTTTATTGGCGGCATTTTGCATCGCCTGCCCAGTCTTTTACTTTCGTAGGGAGTGATTTCTGTGTGCAGATTTGGGACCATTCCTTCCAAGATTTTCCAAGTGTAGATTATGATATATCTCTCCCTCAGGTGTTGCGACAGTCGCAACAGGTGTTGTGATAGGTGTTGCCACTATCAGCAAACTCAGTGGAGTGCCTAAGACTATCCAGCAAGTGAGAGGGACCGCCCACGCCCACAACCCTCCCTCCCACTCCCACACACCCACCGCAACTTTCTCACGCAACACTGCTCCCAATCCGCAAGGTTCGATGTGTTACATACACATTATGGTAGCTTTTATGACCGCCGGGAACTAATTGGTGGAGACACCTGTCTTGGAACGCGATGCGCAGCGCAGGTGCGCTGTAATGTACTTTTATAACCATCTTCAAGTAACTGACAAGAACGCCAATCATTTATTGCTGGAACAGGTGTGGATTAATGGCATATTGTAGAATATACAACGATCGGTAGACATGGGCCAGTAGGCCTGCTGCAGTGCTGCTCCTTTCTTGTACCGACTTCGAGGGGAAAAGAATCGTACTTGGTCTTGAGTAAGAATACGTTCTAACCCTTCTTTATTTATAGACTTTCCGCCATCCAGTGGCTTCATCAGTACAAGGATATAATGTGAAGACTGTGGAAGTATATAAAAAGGTGAGGTAATCAGTCCCTCAGCCTTGAAGTTGATGAAAAGTACTGTAGTCGTCCTGAAGAATCTTCGGATGAACATTTAAGTGGTATAAAATACCGACAGGTTGGTAGGAACTTCTCCAGGCTGAGGGACTGACAACCTCAAATTCTACGACTTTAAGGGTGATGGACTGATTACATCGTCTTCACATCTCTACTGTTCCTGCCTACTTTCTGTATTCGACTGAAGAAGCCTACTGTGTAGGCGAAACGTTTCGGAATAAAGTTGCCTAAATGTTGCCTATGTGTCTTTCCTACCAATCTTCAGATTCTTTACATTATGCCCTTGTACTGATAGTCACTGGTTGGCGAAACGTTGGTATTATATACCATTCATGTACAACTCGGTAGTTTATTACACTCGGCCACGACTCTGCTGCCAATCCACTACTTTCCTTGCAATCCTGTCTAAATTTGAATTCGTCCAACTTGAATCCATT